GCCCTCGCCGTGGCCGTCGGCCGCTGGACAGCACCCATCTGCTCGGGGGCCAGGACTCGCGGCGTGGTGCGCCGCTCGTGCGGCCTGGGCGCCGGGCAGACCGGGCGTCCCCTGCATGCAGGCTCTTACCCAGCGCTGGTTGACGCCTTCCTCGACGGCCTGCTCGCCCATCAAGGATTGTAGGTCTCGTCGTCCTTGTGTGGGCGGTCGACCTTATTTCTTGTGTTATTTTGTCCTCCGCTTGTATTGCCTCGGCGTAGGTCATAGGTGCGCTGTGTACGTTCGGCTCGTGTGTGCGCTCGTCTCGTTCGGCACGCGTGTCAGGCACCCCGCTTCGGGGGAAGGCGCTTCTTTCTCCGTGCACGGGGGCGGGCTTTGGCCCGCCCTGACAGTGGCTCGGACTGTGGTGTTGCTGAGGCTAGGCTGCTTCGAGCTCCTGGCCCCAACACTTCGAGGCAGAGGCAGCACGCTGGCTGCGACAGCCGCCCGCTCACGTGCACAGTGGCGAGCGGGTGGGCCGCGCTTCTTTTACACCTGCAGGATGGCCTGCAGGTGCCTTGTCTTTCGCTGCCTAATCGGGTGGAGATTTGCACAGCAGGTCGCCCTGCTGAAGCGAGCTGTGCTCATTGCGCATCAGGCAGTGAGGGCGTTGAGTCCCCCAAAAAAAAAACCGCGTTTGACGACTGCGGTGGGTTGCTGGTTCTGCATTTGGCACATGCAGACCCAACGCCGAGGAGAGGTATGTCGGGAGTGACGCTACTACAGTGTGGGCGCCGTCGAATTCACCGCCTTTTTGGCCTGCTGTTGCACGCGTTCGGCACCGTTTTAGTCCGTATTTGTTTGGGGTCTTTGCTACTCGGCAATCCCCTGACGGCGCGCGGCACTTACGCTTGCGCTCGCGAAAAATAAAACACCAGCCCATCTAGAGACGATGCCCGGAGGAGTTGCTTCGATCAGGGCAGTGGGCAGCACGCAGAGGAAGGGTGCTTCTTGGAGCGCTCTTGGGACACTCTTGGGCGCTCTTTGGGCCATCTTGGGGCTCTCTTGGGCCTCTCTTGGGGCCTCATGGAGCCTGTTTGAGGCCTCTTGGGCGCCTCATGGGGCCTCCTGGGCGCCTCTTGGGGCCCTCTTGAGGCGCTCTTGGGAGCCTTGGGAGCGCTCTTGGGGCCGTCTTGGAGGAGATCGATCAACAATGGTGAGAGCTTAATTGCGACTCCTCCTTGGGGGCCCCAAGCATCTTCTCTTGAACCCCTCTTGGGCTCTTGGGGCGCTCTTGAGCGCTCTTGGGGCCGTCTTGGGGCTCTCTTGGGCTTCTCTCGGGGCCCTCATGGGCCCTCCTGGAGCTGTCTTGAGACTTCGGAAGGCCATCGTAAGCGAAACGGCGAGAAGGCATTCTTGATTGATGTTCCTTAGGTTGTTGATGTATTTTCGTCTCTTGGCGGCCTCCTGGGAAGTTTCGGAGGCATCTTGGAGCCGTCTTGGAGCGTTCTTGGGGCCTCCTTAGAGCATCTTGGCAGCCATCTGTAGCCATCGTGGGCTATCTTGAGCCATATTGGAGGTCATCTTGGGCTGTCTAAGGCCCTGTTGGAGCCGTCTTGGGCCATCTTGGACGTTCCAGCGCGTCCCGGACCCCCCTGTCGAGGTCCAGGGGAGGGGGTGAGGGAAGGGGTAGACCCTTTCCAGAAGGGGGGACTGGAAGAGAAAATTTTCTAGACCACGTGCGCCCTTCTGGCTGGTGGGATTGCCATGGCGGGAGTATGAGAAATCGTGCGGCCGTACGCACAGGTATTGGTTCTGACGTCGAGTCTACAGTGATTTGTGCGGCGGGATTTGTGATGCAGCTAGCAAGACCAACGCTTCCCTCAAGTGATGTCCATCGTCCGCAGCCTGTGGAGAGACTCCATTTCACGCATGTCAAGATAAGCTCGGTGCATGTTGCATCCATGGCATCAGCCTCTGAGCCTCCGGGGCCACGGCCCCTCCCACCCGCTTGTAGCAGGGCCGTGCTCCGGTGCTTGTAGGGTGTTCGTTCGTTTGTTCGTTCGATCCTCCTCTTCGCTCCTCCCCCTCCTTGCTCTCCCTCGCTATGTCCCCTCGCCTCCCCCTTCTCCCCATGCCCCCCTCTTTCTCCGTCGGCATCTTGCAGCATTGAGGAGATTGGCGCCGCCCGCACACACGTTTTCATACCGACGTCGTGAGCGTTCCCGCGAAAGAAAAGAAGAGCAAGCGACGGCGTGATGAGTGGCCTGTAACGCACGGCGGCCTCGGGCGGGACGGCGGCGCTGCTGTCAGGAGCGGGGCGATAATCTGGCTGACAGGGAAGCTCTGACCAAGCAAGTGCAGCGTCGAGTCGAAGGGTCCGTGCATTGCTCGAGCAAGGCTAAACAGTGCCCCGCATTTTTGCTGGGCCTCGTGCGCACTGCTGCTTTAAATGCCGGGATCGCGCTCTTCCACACACATTCCGCATTTGATGCGCCAGATCACTTTCCCACCCCCCAAGCCAAATTGCATGGCAAGGGTAGGAGATGCGAGCAATTTGGGCATCCCCGTGCAGTGAGTCATGGACATCGATTTCTTGGACATGCCCTTCTCCCCACACATGACACACACGCACATAACTATTTTCTGCCTGTGCAAGTTGGTGGCCTGGCTGGGACAAGCTCAGGAGTGACTGGCTTGTCTCTGATGGGCCTCCTCCTCCTCCTCCTCCTTCTTCTCCTCCTCCTCCTTCCTCCTCCTCCTCTTTCCTCCTCCTCCTCCTCCTCCTCCTCATCCTCGTCCCTCAGTGACCAGCTTGGCTCGAGCCAGTCTGGCTCGAACCCCGAACCAGTACGACAGGAGCTCTTCGCTCCGACCACGTCCTCGCCAGTCGCGCTTCCTGCATGGAGCAGGAGCGCCGGCGCCGTCGTCCCAACCGCACTGCATCGGAACGCCGAGCCCAGCACGCTCGTGCGCACGGGCGTGCGGTCATGCGGTTTTTGCACGCGTTCACGGAGGTGGAGCAGCACAGGGGCCAGTGTCTGACGCGCCTAGCCCGAGCGCTTCACTGGGCATGGGCTGCGGGTCCTGATCACTCTGGCGATTGAATTCGACCTGGGCCCCCCCCCCCAGGTCTTGCGCCCGAGGGCGATCAGGCTGGCGCTTCGCCAGCGGCAGCGGCAGCCGCTCCGTCACCTCTCTCCAGAGGCTACGCCGGGACTGGCTGCTCTGGATAGGGACAGCGACGCGGTGCAGACCGGTGGAGCGGCGGTGAGCGGCGGCGAGCGGAACCCCAGCTGGCGACCCTCCACCTCCTCAGCAGGTTTCAGCGCCCACTGCCGTGCAGGCTGGAACGCCTCCCGTCGGCTGTCGCGAGGGGGCGAAAGGCGTGGGTTCGAGCGATCATCCACAACAGAGCCCTGCCGAAGAGACGGCAGACGCCGCGTGGCAGAGGCGGCCAGCAGCGCTGGTAGCCGATGGTATCCTTCTTGTTCAGGGGCGGGGCGTCGCTGCGGCAGCCCCTCCAGCTCAGCGGAGCAGGGGGTCCATTTCGATCTCGTCAGAGGCGGCGGCCGTGTTGAATCGGATGACGGCGCAGCCAGGGCAGCCACATGCTGTTCCGTCTTCGTGTCCGTCCGACCTCAGTCATGATAATTGCAAGCATCAGTGACAATCACTCGCTTCATGTATGTGGATGGAGTTTTCGCCCAGGCATTTTGTTCGGGTCCCCTCAAGTGCATGTGTGTCTCCCGGCATCGTGAACGTGGTCATGGCGGCGCCATTTCGGGCAGAGCCTGGCCAAGGTCCATAGGGCAAGAAAGGCGGGCGATCTTGGTATTTTGTCTTATTGTTCCATTCGTATGCTTTATTCGGTGTTTCAGCGGCGGCGTATTACATTCATCTTGAGAGTTTGCGTGTATTTCGTGTCTCTCACTCTGCTCTCGGGCGTCACCGGCAGAGGGAAAATGAGCATCGTCGTGGGTTTCAGTGGCGTGATTGATTTCACATTCGTTGGGGTTTATGTCGCGCAATAAGGTGAACAATCATTCTGTCCCGCAGCGGAGTTTCCCAGAGTTCACTTCGCGGCCCTCGGCCTGATCGTCGCTGCGCCCATAGAGCTCTGGGGAGGAGGAGGAGGAGTAGTCAGATAGTATCGCACCGCGATGGAACCCAATCCATTCGTCCTCTTCCCGCATCTACCTCCCCCTCCTCCCCACCCCTCCTCATCCCCCTCCTCCTCCCCCTCCTCTCTCTTGCTTCTCCTCCTCCTCCTCTTCCCCCTTCTCCTCCTCTCTCCTCCTCCTCCTTCTTCCTCCTCCTCCTCTCCTCCTCCTCCTCCTCCCTCTCCTCCTCCTCCTCCTCCTCCTCCTCCTCCTCCTTCTTCTTCTCTCCCTCCCTCTCCTCCACTTCCCTCCTCTTCATCTTCCCCCCCTTCCGTTAGTCCCCCCAGAGTCATCGATCCGATGCGATATCGAAACTGGCCGTCCCGATCCGATTCGACTCCGACATTCAGGCGATCCGGTGCGGCCCGATGCCTGCGTGGCGCCGTTGTGCTTCCTGGCGCCGTTGTCCGATTCGATTTCGGCTCCGCGCTGCCGCGGCCCCAGCCAGCGCGCATTTCGCTCCGATCCGACTTTCCGCTTCGGCCCCGACGGGCCTTTTTTCCCGAGGTCCAGGAGCCTGCGCTGGATGCCCCGCCTGTCCCCCTTCCGCCCTTTGCGTCCTCCGCCCCCATGCCTCCCCCCTTCTCCCCTTTCCCCCTCTCGTCCTGTCCTCCTCCCGCTTTCGCCGCCCGCGCTTTTCTCCTCCTCGTCTAACGCCTCCCTTCTACAGTGACGACGACGACGGTGCGACGATGGCGCGACGACGGCAGCCGCAGCGGCGGGTGGCTGCGGCGACCACGGCGGCGGCTGGCGGCGACGAGGACGACGACGAGGACGACGGCGACGACGGCGACGGCGACGTCGCGCGTGGCGGCGGCGGCATCGGCGGCGGCCATCGGCGGTGGCGCCGAGCGCGGCGGCGGCCGACAGGCGCAGGAGCCCGCCGTTGAGACCCTGCCCCCGGTCACGGGCCGCCTGCGGCGACCGCCCGCGCTGCCCGCCGCGAGGGACGACGACGACGCGGTTCGGATGCCAGGGCCCAGGAGGGCCATGTGAACGTTTTTCGGTCGAGGTTGGCCAGCGGGGGTCGCCATGGATAGGCTGAAGGGGCAAGGATGCAAGGGAACCAGTGGGAAGGTTGCCCATCCTTGTTATGCGGGTTGGGTGTATACACTAGGCCTCGAAGCACACCAGAAGACTGATGGAGCAAGCGCGGCCGCGAGGTTTGTTCGAGTGCGGGCCCGGAAAATATTCGAACCCTCCCGGATGAGCGACACAAGAAAACCATCTCCCTTTTGCCGACGTTGTCGCGTGCGTTGCCCGCGTAAGCTCGCGCGTAAGCGCCCTCGTTGCCAATGTTGCGTGCCGCGTTGGCGGCCCACATAAGCCGCCGCGTAAGGTTGTTATGCCATCCCCCGTAGTATTTCCCTACCTAGGCTCTGCCTAGAACGGTTCTTACTCGGTATGCTTAAAGGGCCGGGCAGTGCAATTCGCCCCGGGCGGTTCCCCCAGTATCCGCCCCGTGGTTCCCCCAGTTACGCCCCCTTAGCTTGGCTTTGCTTAGCTCATCTTAGCTTAGCCTAGCTTAGCTCATCTTAGCTTAGCTTAGCTTAGCCTAGCCTAGCCTAGCCTAGCTTAGCTTAGCATAGCTTAGTTTAGCTCAGCGCAGCTTGGCTTGGCGCAGCGCAGCATCAGCATCGCATAACATAACATATCATACCATAACATAGCATATCATATCATACCATAACATATCATATCATATCATAGCATATCATAACGCATCATAGCATAGCGCAGCATAGCATAGCACAGCACAGCATAGCATAGCATATCATAGCATAGCGCAGCATATCATAGCATAGCAGAGCTTAGCATAGCACGGCGCAGCATAGCATAGCATAGCATAACATAGCATAGTATATCATAGTATAGCATTGCATAACATACCATCGCATATCATATCATAGCGCAGCATAACACAACATAACACAGCATATCATAGCATAGCATAGCATAGCATATCATAGCATAGCATAGCGCAGCATGTAGATGTATATGTTGCTTTCCTAGATGCTCCAACTTCTAGGTAGGGCCGCGCTGGGATAATCATGCTTGATCGTCGCGCAGATGGGGTCCGAGTAGATAGGGTCGGAGGATCGCGCCGCACCGCCGATGCATCGGCGATGCGGCTCGATGCGGAGTTCGTTTGTCGCCACGCCGACGGCGGCGACGCATCGCCGACGCCGCCCGCCCTGTGCGCCGCGGGGGCCCCTGACCTGCCAGGAGGGCCAGGACGTAACACTGGGGCCTGTGACTTGGCCACGGTCGGGAGCTCCACCAGGGCAGAGGAGGAGGAATGAGAGGAGGGAGGAGGAGGAGGAGGGGAGGAGGAGGAGGAGGAGGAGGAGGAGGAGGAGGAGGAGGAGGAGGAGGAGAAGGAGGAGGACGAGGAGGAGCAGATGGCTTGGCGTGTCGCTGCGCTGGCTCTGGCCCACCACGCTTCGGCGCGACGCGCGAGCCACTGCGCCCCGTTCCCAGGCGTCCGCGCCCCGAGCCACTGCCCCGCCCCCCGCCCCGCGGAGCGGAGCGGCGTGCCACCCGCGTGCAGGGCACAGCGTGTCGCTGGGGCCGCCGCGGCGACTCGCTGGGCAAACGTTCCCGGCCCACGTGTCCCTCCGGGAGCCTCGCCGGAGGCACGGACCATCGGCGCCTTTGGATGCATGCACTGCTCCCCCCCAGGCTACTCGCCCCCCTCCTCGCCCCCGAGGCGAGGCTTCATTCCGCGGTCCAGATGGCCCCAGAGGTCTGGAGGGCAGTGTTCTTGAGCCTCCTGGAAGGTCAGGGTGGGGTTGGGGGGGGCTCGTCTCCGCAGGCCTTCGCGGGGCCCTCGCGGGGCCTTCGCGGGGCCTCCTCGGAGCTCCGGGGGCTCCCAGAGGCCTCCAGGATCCCCCTGGTGGATTTTGGGGGACCCCCAGGGGCCCCCGGAGACCTTCATTGGCCTCTGGGAGGACCGCCAGAGGTTCTCCGTGGGGGCAGGAAGCCCCAGCACGACCTCGCAGGATCGCATCCTCCCAGGGCCGGCCAGGCATGTGCCCCTCGAGGGCGAGCCCTGTGGACCGCCCCCTCCTTTTGTCAGGCGATCGCAAACATGGATCCAGGGGGCGTGGAAAAGCGACGGGTCCCGTTTCCATGGGAAAGCGCGGATTTCCGCCGCCGAGCGAGGCGGCACCGGCCGCATTTTGAGGAGGGCACCTCCCCCGATCCATGGATTTGGCGACCGCGCGCGGAATCCATGGATCGCTAATCCATGTCTGCGCGCCCCAGATTTTGGGGTCTGGTTGAGTTTCCCTGAACTCTTCTTCTTGGGAGGCTTCCGGTGGGTGAAAGCCTCCAGAGGCCTTCCAGGGAGTTGCCTCTTGAGGGGGGTCTCGAGACCTCTGCGGCCCATCGCGGGAGGGAGGGGGAGCAGGAGGATGAGGTGTGCAGGGCTCGTTTCGATTCCTCCGATTCGATTCGGTTCGACTTCGATGGCTTTGATTCCGATTCGACCCGACTTGGGATTCCGATTCGGGTTCCGATTTTTCACTGGAGGCAAACTAGCCGGATTCGACTTTTCCCATCTCGGCTGCCGATTTCCGCCGATCCCATTCATTTCGATCGCCGATCCGACTTATCGATTCAATTCTGGGCTCTCGTGGGTGTGGAGTGGAGTGGACGCCGCGACGATGTCATACGATTGAATTGAAGTTGCCTCGCAGCCTTCGCAGTCTGTACTGTCTCTGGGCGGTGCGTCAGAGCCTTGGGCCTCAATCTTGATGCACATTCCGGAGATACTCCTGCCCAGTATCTGAGACTGGAGGCTTGTAGGACTATTCAAGAGTTCGTCTCAAATTGTTAGCGCTTCGCGAATCCCCACCAGCGCATCCAGAAACGATGCCCAGAGGAATTGCCTCGATCAGGGAAGCGGGCAGCACACAGAGGAAGGGTCCCCCAGTGGAGGCTTCTTGGAGCGTCTTGGGGGCCTCTTGGCGGTCCCAGACGCCTCTTAGAGCGTCTTGGGTGCCTCGGAGAGCTTCTTGGGGCCTCTTGGGGGTCTCTTGGGAGCCTCTTGGAGGCCTCTTGGGCGCCTGTTGGGGCCTCCTGGGGCCTCCTGGACGCCTCCTAGGGCCCTCTTGAAGCGCTCTTGGGAGCCTGGGGAGCGCTCTTGGAGCCCTCTTGGTCCATCTTGGAGCCACCTTGAGGCCTCGGCGAGAAAGCGGAGAACATGGATTTACCGCAGGTTTTGGAATGATTTTGGCTTCTTCGGGGCCTCCTGGGGGAGCTCTTTGGCCACTTGGAGCCGTCTTGGAGCGGTCTTAGGGCCTCTTGGAGCATCGTAGGCGCCATCTTGAGGCATCTTTGGATATCTTGAGCCATCTTGGAGATCATCTTTGGCTCTCCCAGGCGCTCTTGGAGTCATCTGAAGCAGTGCCCCCCCCCCCAGGAGGCCAAAATGTGGCCAAAACCTTAGTAAAATCAACGATTTTGGCATTGTCGCCGAGGCCTCTTGGAGCGTCTTGGGTGCCTCTGGGGGGCCTCTTGGGGCCTCTTGGAGGTCTCTTGGAGGTCTCTTGGGAGCCTCTTGGGGGCCTCCTGGGGGCCTCTTGGGGCTTCCTGGCCACCTCTTGGGGCCCTCTTGGGGCACCCTTGGGAGCCTTGGGGGCCATCTCTGGGCCATCTTCGGTGAGATCGATCACCGGAGGGGGGGGGTGCTCAATGAGCTTCCCCCCCCCAAGGGGCCAAAATGGGGCCCAAACCCTAGTAAAATCAATGATTTGTGCTTCCTCGCCGAGGCAGTTTTGGACGCTCCGACGACTCGCGGAGCCGCCCGTCCAGGTCCATGGGGAGGGGGGGGTGGGGAGGGGGTACGGGGAGGGGTAAACCCCTCCCCGAAGGGGAAGAAGGAGGGGTGGAAGAGGAAACTCCCTAAACCACCGACGCCCAGAGGGCTGGTGGGATTTTCACTACAAAAGTACCCGCAACTGGAGCAGAACCATCCTCGGCGAGATTCGTGAAGCATCATACCGTGAGAATCGTTCACATACTTCCCCCTAAGTGCAAGGGAAGAAAGGGTGGACGGGCAGCGGGGAGGAGGGAGGGGGGAGGAAACAGACAATGACGATGATGGTGATGATACGGAGGGGACGGCATATCAGGCAGCCTTTTTTGCACACTCTTTGCACGTCGTATGCTCGCTGATGTCTTGGGATGGTGAGCTCGATTCTCTAGAGGGTTATCCCGCAATGTAGTGCCTCGTATGTTTCATGGTGAGGTTAGGGTCAGCTCGTTTTATTCAAGACGCTTCGCGTTCACCGCCCGCCACTCCAGTTCTCGACGGACGAGGCGAAGACGGCTCCACGACGGCATGAACATATGCAGAAAATCATACAAGACCCCCCGCAGGTGTGTGTTGTTGTTTTTACCTGCGCTGGCCCTTGTTTACTATCCACACCAGGAGGCCAGCAAGAGCCCGAACACTGCCCAAGGACGACTAGAAACGGCTCGAACGCTGCCTGAAGGGAGCCAAGCAGGGACCCATGCGGCTCAGGCGGGCGTTGAACGGCCGAAGCGACAGCACGTCGGTGTTGGGCCGCAACTCGGTCGGAATGCCATTGAACATCGGGCTGGTTTGGGGCCGGTTTGGGTTTCGTTTTTGGGCCCACTTGAAGCCCAGGAACGTCCAACATTGATATTGGATCGAGTCTACAAGCGACGTAGGTGTGGGAGCAGGTGCATGTAGGTACAGCACGAGTTATAGGTCCCAGGTAGGGGGTCGGGGTTCTGACGATGCATGTAGGCGTTGGGGATGTTGTTTGTCTTGGACGTCATGTTCTGTTTTGGCGTGAACTCAGGCATGGCGTGCGGCGTCATGTGGCTTCATGCCATAGCACGTGACACTCTGCCCGAGATCTAGTGGCCTTCGTGCCTGGGTTGTGGGCTCCGAAGCCTCTTGGATGCTGCTCGGGGATGCGTGGAATGCCTTGCGAAGGTATATGGATACTGTATGGTGTTTGCGTTGGTGCAATCGGGATGCTTCAAGTAGTGCCGAAGCGGTATCGTGAGCGTCGTATGGACCCCTGCGGGCGTGGATCCCTGGTGATAGGGAGGTGTGTCGGTACCAGTGAATTGGGGATGGTGTTGGGGCCTCTTCTGGGCCTGTCGGGGGGGTCTTCGGGCTTCTTGGGGCCCGCTTGGGGTTTCTTGGGGCTTTTGGGGCCTCCCGTGGGGCCTCTTGGGACGGCGGGCTCGAAAAGTTGTTCGGGCTCCTCCTGTTGGGCCCCTCTTGGGCCGTCCTGGGGGCCTCTTGGGCCGCTTCGGGGCCCTGTTGGGCAATATTGGTGCCCTTTGGCGGTCTTGGGCCATCTTGGGGCTCACTTGGGTCGTCTTGGGGCCCTCTTGGCGGCCTCTTGGGCCGCCGCGTCCGTCTTGCGGTACAAGCCATGCTGGTTCTAGGCTGTTTTGAGTCCGTTTGGAGGCCCAAGTGGGGCTTCGAATTTTCCAAAAGTGACCCCAGAGCGCGCCCAAAGACGGCATCCAAATTCGAAATATGAATAACACCCTGGACGAGCCCGAAAGGCAGTTGTAAGAAGCGCCGGGGTCACCCCCGGGGAAGCGAAACTCGTGAAACAAAATAGTATTTACGGTATTTTGATATGCCAGCTTTTCTGCGAGAGCGGGCCACAAACGCGCTTTTGAGGGCAGGGCGCCGGGAGCGGATTTTGGAGGCCAAGGGGCCGAAATGGCGCCAAAATGCGCTCTGGAGGCGTCTTCAGGACGGTCTGTAAATCGAGCTCGTCTTGGAAGCCGTCTTGGAGGCGTCTTGGGGGTCGAAACGGTACTTGGGCGCAGCCGGGTGGCGGAATGGCGGAGGCCTCCAGGGGGGGACTCAGGGGGGGACTGAAGCATTGCAAGGAGTTCTCGTAGTTAAATCACCCACGCTCCTCAGCCCGGTGGGTGGGCGGATTCAAAAGGCTTTTGTCATTCCATTAGCCCCCAGGGAAAGCATAGGCAGGGCGAGACAATCTGGGAGGCATGTTGCAGTCTCTTGGGGTGCCTCTCAGCAGCATCCTGGAGCGTTTGTCGGGGCATCTGGGGTCTTTTCGGCTTCCTGGGGTCTCGGGGCCTTCTATGGGGCCTCTGGGGCCGTCTTGGGGCAGTCTTGGGGGCTTCTTGGGACGTCGTGGAACGCCGGAATTGCGAAAAGTTGAAAACACCCCAGACCTTGAGCAAATCAATGATTTTGGCCTGTCGGGGCCTTTTTGGGAAGGCTCTTGGGGCTCTCTTGGCGCGTCTCGAAGGTTTCTTGGGCTGACTTGGGGCCATCTTGGGCGTCTTGGACCGATCGTGCGGGGATTCGGGGCCAGCTTGGGGGCCTTTTGGGGCCCTCTTGGCCTGTCGTAGCGCTTTCTTGGGGCTGTAGAAGTGACGCGAGAAGCCGCGACACGCACGGGAAGACTTGTGAATTTGGCGCCCCGGTCCAGTCAAGAATCTTCAGGACCGAGGACTCATGCTCCAGGGGGATAGAACAAGGGACCTGAGGACCCTCCAATTCGTGCCTCGAGAGCACGGTGGTGGAAAACCCCGACCCCCGGATAAGAAAGCATCCCCCCTTAATTGTTGCATCTCTTTATCCACGGGATTGAATGTGGTTCAATTGCCACAGCACGCTGGGAGGCCGATTTTGATTATCACCTCCAAAGTTCTTATCGTAGCTCTGATCTTCACTTCGTTCATAGCACCACGAGTGATCCTTTTTATCACGTTTCGAGGATGCCTCAGGCTAGACGTACATTTTGGAAGATTTGCCGAATTCGCTACAAATTGCATTGTCGCGAACATGTCATGTGTGTAGGGACGTCTCAGGCGAAATTCTTTACGCTTCGCGTATCCCCACCAGCCCATCTCAAAACAGCAACTCTAGCAAAGCATGCCGACAGTCGTGTTTTTCAGGCGTGTTTCCGCCTGCCCCCGCATATCTCCCCTGTTCCTCCTTCCTCCCGCCTCCTTGTACATCCTCCTTGTGGTGGGAGCGGGAGAAGGACGAGGCGGAGGAGGAGGGAGAGAAAGCGCTCCTCGTGGTTTGAGTCGTTTGGGGTTTCTCGTCCTGGTGTGAGTCGTTCGGGCCCTTCTTCCTGGTGTGAGTCGTTCGGGCTCTTCGTGGTGTGAGTCGTTCGGGCTCTTCGTCCTGGTGTGAGTCGTTCGGGCTTCTCGTGGTGTGAGTTGTTCGGGCCCCTCGTCCTGGTGTGAGTCGTTCGGGCCCCTCCTCCTGCCCGTCCAGAAACGACGCCCAGGCGAGTAGAGGGTCGTCCTGATGGGCTTTTCGGCGTCTTGGGTGCCTCGGGGGGGGCCTCTTTGGGCCGTTTGGGATCCTCTTGGGGGCCTCCTGAGGGCCTCTTGGGGCCATCTTGGGGCCTCTAGGTGCCTCCTGGGCGCTTCTTGGGGCCATCTTGGAGGAAATCGATCAAAGAAGAGGGGAGCTTTAATGAGCGCTGCCCCCTCAGAAGGGCAAAATGAGGCCAAAACCTTCGTAAAATCAATGATTTTGGCTTGAAAGAAGAGGGGAGCTTTAAGGAGCGATGCCCCCTCGGAAGGCCAAAATGGGGCCAAATCCGTAGTAAAATCAATGATTTTGGCTTCAAAGAAGAGGAGAGGGTTTTTTCTGCCTCCCCCCGTCGGGGCCAAAATCCTCGTGAGGGGTGTCGTTTTTTAGCCCTCCCAGGAGTCAAACACTACCCCTCTGACCACCCGCGGAACGCCCTCTCCAGGCCCAGGGGGAGGGGGTAGGGGGAGGGGTAAACCCCTCCCCGAAGGGGAAGAAGGGGGTTGAGAACAGAGCGGGCTCTCTAAACCACTCACGCCCAAAGGGCTGGTGGGACTCACGTTGTCGTAGATTCGCTGAGTTAGCGACAATCAATGGAAGACCGACCCAAACATCCTAACATCGATATCGCCGGAACAACTTTTTTATCTTGCCTGGACCCCAAGCTTCATTATCCCCAGGGCATTCTCTTCACCAGCATCGGGTTAACATTTTTCATAGCAGGAACCAACAACGCAACAGACACATGCTACAGTGGGGGCGCGCATCAAGAAATCATGTGCTTTTCGTCAGGGTACCCTATGTTTTTTCGATCCGCGCTCTGCGCGGCGACTTCCCGCAGCCGTTGAAGCAGCTGCTGCGTCAAGGTGCTCCAGGTTTCCCCTCAGGCGCACCTCTCGCGTGGGTTTTTCAGGGTTGGGTTTCTTGCGAGGGTTTCTTGCGGCTGCGCCCGCACTGTAAGTTAAACAGTTTGGCCAGCCCAAATCGGGTTTGTCCAGGTTCAGGAGGGGAAAACACACACAGACACAATTCATCGTCGATTCCCAGGAAAATATGGGAAAATACGGGAAGTGGGGGGACTATGGGAAACTATGGGAAACTATGGGGGATCGTGTTATTTGTGTGTGTGTGTGTGTTTATTTGTGTGTCCCAGGGCCCCTTCATTGTAGTTCGCCGCCTCCTGCCTCCCGTCCTCTCGTCTCCCCCTCTGGTGGGCCCTGGAAACCGCAGGCCGTTTTTTTCCACACCGAGCATCTTCTTTGGGTGGAGGGCAAAGGGTGAGATCTGAGATGCCGTTTCGATGGATTGTCGAGGCTTGAATCTGCAAAAGGGGTGAATCGCAAGACGGATCGATCTTCGAGGTGCAAAGGCCCATATGGATCTCACCCTGAGCCCTCCACCCTAGGGAAATGCCCAGTCACAGTTTCGAAAGAGTGCCTCTTGAAAGTGGGCACCGTAAAACAGAGGCGACTGGAAACGGCCAGCAAAACGAAACGCTCCGGGGATGGAACTGGAACCGGAACCAGAAGACAACGGCGACGGAGCCGGCAGAGCAGCGGCGACGGAACCGGCAGAAAGAACGGCAGAGCGCGACCGGCAAGACACAAAGAGGCCCTGTCGTCTCCAGGGCCCGCTCAGGGGTCTCCCCCCGCCCAGGCCGCCGCTGCCGACCCAGCAGACATCCGACGTCTCGATTTTTGTTTCGAGGCACGGGCCCCCGACCTTCTGACCACTTCCCACAGCTTCCTATCTATATGATACCATATATCCTCCTAGGACTCGGCAACTCGCTGTGTCTGTGCGCTATCTTCCCCTCCTAAGATCAACCATGGCGGGGTCTTTCCAGACACCCGACGTCTCGATTTTTTCGAGACACGGGCACCCGACCTCCCGACCACTTCCCTGGGGCCGGTTTTTCGCCACGAGTCGTTTTTTGGCGGTCCCGAGGCCCGGCGAGGGCCCCGAGGGGCCGAGAGCGATGAAGAAGTCCGTCTCGATTTTTTCAGATCGCCCGATGTCTGGGGACGTCTGCGGCTCTACAGGAGGAATATGAAGAAACAGCTAAACAATGTTATGGGGACCATTGTTCGAATATTTGCTGCCCATTTGGGACCATTTTTGGGATGTTTTTCATTTTCCCTCCAAAGTCCCCCTGTAGGGGGACCGGCCCGACCTCAAGGTATTCCATCTCCGCCGACCAGACGCTGCGGGGCACCCCCATCCGCGAGGGGGAGCTGTGGTACCTGTCGGCGGAGGAGCGCGTGGAGCAGGCGCCCGCCTGGCGCGCCGTGGCCGCGTCCGTCGTCGGCGTCCTCGTCGGCCTCGTCGGCCTCGTCGGCCTCGTCGTCGTCGTCGTCGTCGTCGTCGTCGTCGTCGTCGTCGTCGTCGTCGTCGTCGTCGGCGTCGTCCCGAGGCCTGGCCAGGCGGGGCGCGAGGAAGCGGAAACATGGATGCAGGCGCGCGGATGAGCGACGGGCCCTGTCTCCATGCGGCACCAGCGCGCGCTGTCCCCACGTGAGGCGGCACTGGCCTCGTGTGTCGGGGGTGCCTTCCCCGCTGCATGGATCCGGCGCCCACGCCCCAGATTCACGGATCACAAGTGCATGTCAGCGTGCGCCAGATTTCCGGGGGTCGAGGGTCGGGGGTCCAGTCAGAGCCAGCTTGAAGGATGAGCTTTTGGGGCGAGGGGCCCTTGCATCCTTCGGTCACGGGTATGCTTGTCATGCTCCAGGCGCGCCATGGTTTGGCTTGCTCACGTTCTTGTGGCAGGCTTCGCTGTGCAGGTGTCTGAACATTTGTCCCCCCCCCTCCCCGTGTGGGGGGGTCTCGTTTTGAATGCAGCACCGTGGTCCCCACCTCTTCCTCCCGCCTCTCTTTTCCTCCCTCCTCATGCCGTCTGTCTCCTCCGCCTGCGCTGCTCCCTGGCTGGCTGCGAACTTCGCAACCGTCGCCATGTTCGTTGGCTCCTGGGAGGGCCAGCGGAGTAGAGGCACACACGGACCCAGCCGAGACCTCGCGGCTCCTTGGGAGGCTGCGAAGTGTGCAACCGTTGTCACTCTCGTGGGCTCCTGGGAGGTCCAGCGGAGTCGCGGGGTCACGTGGACCCAGACGAGACCTCGCTGCTCCCTGGGTGGCTGCGAACTGCGCAACCGTCGCCATGTTCGTTGGCTCCTGGGACTGCCTGGGTGGGTGCCAACTGCGCAACCGTCACCACTTTTGTGGGCTCCTGGGAGGTCCAGCGGAGTCGGGGGCCATGCAAACCCAGAGAAGAACCTCGCTGCACCCTGGGTGGCTGCGAGCTGCGCAACCGTCGCCACTTCAGTGTGCTCCTGGGTGGTCCAGCGGAGTTTGGGGGCATGCAGACTCGTGCGAGACCTCGCGGCTCCCTCGGTGGCTGCGAACTGCGCAACCGCTTCCATTTGCGGGATGGGCGGGCGCGATGCGAACCCTGCCGCTGGGGCCTTCTGTGGAACTCTGCGTGGACAGCTAGGCGCGGGGAGGGCGCGCCGAGATGGGCGAGGCGACGCCATGCGGACCCTGCCACTGGAGCCGCCGGTGGAGCTCCCTATGGAGCCACGAAACGTGTGAGGGGAGTGCCAGACTTGGCGTGGCCACGCATGCGGACTCTGCAATTTGTGTGCGGATCCGATGGGACTGGGACCACAAAGCGTGTAAGTGGCGTGCCGAAGCAGGCGTGGTCGCGCACGCGGAGTGTGCCGTTTGAGCCTCCCTGTGTAGGACCCATGGTGCACGAAACGCGCGAGGGGTGTGCCAGAACGGGAGTGGTCACGTGCGCGGCCTTTGCCAGTTGAGGGTGCCAGATGGGGCCTGGTCACGCATGCAGAGTTTGCCGGTTTGGGTCTTGCTGAGGAGCTCCAATGGGACCACGGAGCGTGTGAGGGGTGCGCCAAATTGGACGTGCCACCCATGCGGACTATGCGATGTGGTTTCCTGTGGAGCTGCCACGGGGCCACGGAGCGCGTGAGGGGCGTGCCAAAGCAGGCGTGACCACGCGCGCAGACCTTGCAATTTCGGGCTTCCGTGGCAGTTCTATGGGGGGCACGGAGCGTGTGATGGGTGTGCCAGGACGTGCGTGGCCACGCATGCCGAGTTTACCAGTTGGGCTTCCCGTGGAGCTCTTATATAGGGCCACGAGGCGTGTGAGGGGTGTGTCAAAATGGACGCGATCGCGCATGCGACCTTGCCGTGCGGTTTTCCTGTGGAGTCTGTTGTGGAAATGGGAAGCGTGTGAGGGTTGTGCCATAATCCTGAAAACTCCGCGGGGTTTTAGATCAGGGGGCTTTTAGATCAGTTTTTTTATTTTTCAAAAAAATATATAAAACATGGAAGCGTTGATGATGAAGCATCGAATTACGCATGGTCATCCATTCATCCGTTCGTCCATCTACCCATCCACCCATCCATCCATTCCATGTGCACCGCCGCCAGATTCCGTCCGTCCACCCACCCACCCATCCATCCACCCACCCGCCCATACATCCTTCCATCAACAATATGTACTATCTCTCCCTTCACTCATCCTTCAATCTTGCCTTTTTTTTCCTATCCTTCCTGCCATTGCCGTTTTGGCTGCAGCAATGCCTTCCTGGCCCTTCATGCCTTCTTCCAGCCATCGTGCTTTTGCCTTTTCCGGCCAAGGCGAGAGTGTCGCTAGCCTCCTCGGAGATGTGGGCACCGCCTTAGATGTGGACGCACGACGACGACGACGACGGCGACGACCGCGACGATGGCGACGACGACGACGGCGACGACCGCGACGACGACGACGACGAACGTCGCGACTGGCTCCATCCCTCCTTTCAAGCTGCCCCGAGTTCGTCTGTCGGAGGCCGCCGCGTTTCGAGAGGCGGGGGGTGGGGATGATGGCGCTTGGGATGGCGAGGGTGAAGATGATGAAGACGAGGGGGGGGGGATTGGGGAGGAGGAGGAGGTGGGGGAGGAAGAGGATGGGGGTGGCGACGAGGAGGGGGGCGATGGGGGGGAGGAGGAGAAGGGGGGGAGGAGGAGGACGAGGACGAGGAGGAGGAGGATAGGGGGGGGGGAGGAGGAACAAGACAGCCGTTGCCTTCCTTGTTGGCCCCCCCGCCAGAGCCTGCGAGGCTCTGGGGGGCGTTCGAACGATTTCGTCGTTCGCGCACGCGAAGCCCGTTTGGTTTCATTTTCTGAGAACGTTGGAACGCCTATGGTTTTCTCACGGATTTGCAGGGGCGCGCGCGCGTTGGATGGGCGAGCGCGCGCGCGTTGTTTTTTTTTTTTGGGGGGGGGGGCCGAAGGGGGGCCGGTGCCGGCTTGGCTGGGGTGCTACGAATTCAAATGTAGGATTGACGTTTGGGTCAGGATCGAATGTGTTCGCGTAGGTTCCCAGGGGAGGGATACGTCCGGGGGCGGGGCGGGGTTGCCGCACGTTTTTTGTGGATCGGAGAACTCATTTGGCGAACTTGAAGTTGTTCGCTCCACTGTTCGCGCAATCATCCCACCCGCCCGCCCGCAACTTGATCTGCAAAACTCATGCGGGGGTGATTGCGATGAGGTTTGGGCGATGGCTGGTTCATCCCCGCGGCTGCGCTAGCCCGCGCGTGCTCGCGCGCGCGGCGGTCGGCTAGTTTGGCGCGACCGACGCGAACGCGGTGGCGCTGACCGCTCGGCACATCCCAGCGGGCACTTCCGCGCGAGTCGGTTGCTTGGGCGGGCGCGGTGTCGTGGCAACGTCGACGACAGCGGGCGCGATGATGATAGTGGCGATGCTGGTGACGATGCTGAAAGCGACGATGGGGCGGCCAGTGACGGCTCCGATGCCGATCGCGCCGACGACGATGACGACGTCTTCGAGTCGGTGATGAAGGTTGTGGAAGGATTTCGAAATGTGCGCGCGGCAGACGCGCGAGAGTGGCCCGATTGGTAGTGTCTGACGTGGATCGTGCCACCCCGGCGAGCGCGCAAAGGCGTTCGGGCGATTTTGACATGCGCGCGCGCGAAGCCCTCGCTGTAGCATTGTATGAAGGTTTTGAGCAGCTCGTGACTTACTCAAGAATTCGCAAGAGCGCGCGCGCTTTTGTTGAACATCCGTGTTGCGAAGTTTTTTTTGCCAACCTATGATTCGCATGGGAATCCAGAATAATTATTATTGTTGATAAACTAGTGTGCGCGCACATTTTTTTGTAAGGCAACCGAAAGGGGGCCGGTGCCAGCCTGGCTGGGATAGTATGTGTTCAGAGGTAGGATGGACATTGGGTCAGAGTCATGTGGGTGTTGCATAGGTTCCCGGGGGGTCGATAAGTCCTGGGATGGGTGGGTGGGGGGGTGGGTGGGTGAGTGGGTGGTAGAAGGTGTTTTTTTTTAGAATGGCGAATCTCTCCGGTGCGCAAGTTATGCGGTGCGAACGAAGTGGTGCAGTCCGAAGTGGTGCGATCCGCGTTGTGAAATATATACATATCGATATATGTATGTCTGTGCTGTACATATATATATATATATATATATATATATATATATATATATAGGTGTGTCAATGTACATGCGCGCACATATTTCTATACATACGCACGTATCAATGTATAGTGTCTATTTGTGGATATAAATGGGCGGTGCGATCTAGGAGGTGCGATTCACTTGCGGAACTTGACATTGCCAACTCCACTGCTCGCGCAATCGTCCCGCCAACCCACCCGCGACTTGGTTTGTTAAAGCCATGTGTAAGCGATTGCGATGAGTGCTGGGTGTTGGCTGGTACATCTCTGTGGCCGCGCTCGTCCGCGCGTGCTCGCGCGCGCAACGGCCATCTAGTTTGGCGCGACCGACGCGAACGCGGTGGCGCTGACCGCTCGGCACATCCCAACGGGCACTTCCGTGCGAGTCGGCGGCGTGGGCGGGCGCGGTATCAAGGCAGCGCCGACTTCGGTTGGCGCGGTGATGGTAGTAGCGATGTTGTCGACGATGCTACCAGCGACGACGGGGCAGCCAGTGACCGCGCCGATGCTGATCACGCCGATGACGATGACGGCGTCGTCGCGTCGGTGATGAAGGTTTTGGAAAGAGTTCGAAGTGCGCGCGCGGCAGGCGTGCGAAAGTGGCCCGCGTGGTATTATTTGACGCGGGTCGTGCCACCCCCGCGCGCGCAAGGGCGTTCGAACAATTTCGACATGCGCGTGACAGAAACCCGCTTTGGATAATTTCGTGAACGTGCGGGACATGTTATTCTTAAGAATTCGAAAGAACGCGCGCACGTTTTCTTTGAGCATAGATGAGCATTGTGTGTGTGTGGGTTTGTTTGTTTTCTCTTTCTCTTTCTCTCTTTCTATATATATAATAAAGTTGTTTGGGCACTCGATTTGGAACTCCTTCCGGCACCGCAGGTTTTTGAAAGATTTCGGCACGCGCGCGCGACGACGCGACCGTGTGATTCTTGGACATTTACTATTTTCAAACAGCGAGTGTGCGCGCGTAGTTTTTCCAAGGAAACCGAGGGGGGGCCGATGCCAGCTTCGCTGGGATAGTATGAACTCAGGGGTAGGATGGGCATGGGTCATAATCGTATTTGTTTGACATCGGTTCCCGGGGGATCGATAAATGCGGGGGGAGGGTGGTGAAACATTTTTTTGTTTTTCCATTTACATATATAATAATAATAATATTTTATTTTTAATATTATATTTTCTAGCGCGGTTCAATCGGTGGTGCAATCAATGCGGCACAATTTCTGTTGTGCAATCTGTGTGGTGCAGCTTATGTTGTGCAGTGGAGACGGACGTGCGGCGAAGAGGCGGCGACGGCGGTAACATAGCCGCCAGATTGGAAGACAGGCCCAGGCGACTGGCGGCGACGAAGCGGCGACGTGGCGGCGACGGCGGCAACATAGCCGCCAGTCAGGACCACAGACCCAGACGACGGGCGCCGACGAGGCGGCGACGGGGCGGCGACGGCGGCAACATAGCCACCAGACCGGCAGACAGGCTCAAACGATGGGCGGCGAGGAGGCGGCGACGGGGCGGCGACGGCGGCAGCATAGCCGTCAGACTGGCACACAAGCCTAGACGACGGGCGGCGACGAGGCGGCGACGGGGCGGCGACGGCGGCAATATGGCCGCCAGTCCGGCAAACAGGCCCGTTTCCTCAGAAGACAAGTGGGGCCTCTTAAATGTAAACACGTTTTGGGAATATATATATATATATATATATATTCTCATACGCACCTCTCCGAGGGAGTAGAGCTCAGAGGCGATTAGTGCGCACGTCGTTCGCGATTTGTCTGGCCGTTTCGCTCGGGACATCCTCGAAATTCTGAAAATCGGTGGCACCCCTCACGCAGATCGTGACGTCAGGGTCCAAAAACACATGGGAAATTCAACATTTTAACATAAAACCTTCAAAAACACATTGTAATTTCAATAATTTTGACCCCGATTCTCAGAGAATGGCGGTTTCGCCTGAGACATCCTTCCAAAATCGAGCCCCAGACCCCTCCTCGGAGCTTCCTGGGGGCCTCCTGGAACCTCCTGGGGCCTCCTGGGGCTTTCTGGACCTTCTGGTACCCCAGACCCCGCCTCGGAGCCTCCTGGAGTTCTCCTGGGCCTGCTGAGGCCGCCTGGGGCCTCCTGGGGCCTCCTGGGGCTTCAGAACTACATGCACACACAGAGACACAAATCACGCCCAACACATCACACGCTAGACAAACATAACACACACACACAACACCGACAACACACAAAAAGCACGCACCACACAAAGCACACATCACACACACACACAACACTCACAATCCTGGGGCCTCCTGGAGCCTCTTCTGGTATCCAAGTCGGGCCTCCTGAGGCTTCCTGGGGGGCCCTGGTACACACATCGCAAGGTGTGGCAACCCCACTTGCGCTCGAGTGCGACTTCGCTGTTGCATGTCACTCCTGCTTCAAACGCCCCTTCAGCTTGATGTATGAGCCTGGGCACACACGTGTCACTTGTATATATATATAGAGAGAGAGAGAGAGAGAGAGAGAGAGAGAGAGAGAGAGATCGACAGAATGAGAGAGAGAGAGAGAGAGAAAGCGAGAGACTGATAAGGAAAGAGAGAGAGAGAGAGACAGAGAGAGAGAGAGGAACACACAGAGAAAGAGAGAGAGAGAGAGAAATAAAAAAAAACATAGAAAGAGAGAGAGGGAGAGAGAGACAGAGAAAGAGACAGAGAGAGAGAGACAGAGAAACATGAAGAGAGGGAACAAGAACGAGCAAGAGAGAGAGAGAGAGACAATAAGGAGAGAGAGAGAGAGATAGAGAGAGATAGAGAGAGATAGAGCGAGATATAGAGAGAGATAGAGAGAGAGAGATAATGAGAGAAAGAGAGACATAAGTAGAGAGGGACAGAGAGAAGGTGAGAGACAAAGACAGAGAGAGAGAGAGAGGGACATAACGATATATATATATATGTGTATATATATACATAGTCACCGTTTCAGGCTGATCATTACTATTCCTACCACTGCTGCTTGCTCTTCCTCTTCGTTGCTGCTGGTTTCCATGCGTTGCGCAGAGCATCTGACGTTAGATGGTTTCTTCCATGTGTCTCTCAAATCCCGAGTTCAGAACCTGAGAGAGAGAGAGAGAGAGAGAGAAAAACAAAACAAATAGGGGGTCGTTGCGATCTGCACGCAGTGGCATATGGACCACCACTTCCTATACATTTTTTGGGGGGAGTAAATCGGCGTAGAACCTTGCTCGTCCTCGTCCTGTTGCTGGCGAGGCAGGCGCCAGAGGAATGTGCTATGCCATCCTCCCAGTCCCTCGGCCGAGTAGGTGACATTCTCGCTCCACGTGAACGGCTTCGCGTTCGTGCACGGATCACACGAGACTCATGTCTCGTTGTCACCATTCTGCTTGGTGCGCAATTGCAAGGCACCCTGGGGGGGCAGTTCGCAGTGTGTGGAACTGGTGCAAATGGCAGAAGGAGAGGCAGGAAGCGCAAGAACACGGCTAGATGGAGGGAAAGCGTGGATCTTTGGCATACTTACTTTTAGCAACATCGTGCAGAATACGCTCCTTCGGGAGGAGTCTCTGGTTGTTTTTTACAGGTCTCTGGAAGTCTCCGAAGGTCTCCAGACTCTTCGGGGCAAGCTCGATCTTCCACATCCTACGCCCCCTGACGTGACGGCGGCGATGGCGGTGGTGGCGGCAGTGACAAAGAGCAGGACGTGGAGCGGGGCCCCAGAGAACACGGGGCTCGCACGCATGGTGAAAGCCTGTCATTATTTTCCAGCGGGCAGCGAGAGAGATCACGCGCTGGTGGCAGGTTTGGTGGGCCGCCCCAGCAGCGAGCTGTGCCAGGTCGAGAGCGGGGGAGCAGGAGGAGCAGCCGCGGGAGCATTGGAGAGCGGACTGAGCCCGACACGCAATCGCAGGAGGAGGAGGAGGAGGAGGAGGAGGAGGAGGAGGAGGAGGAGGAGGAGGAGGAGGAGAAATCCGAACCCTACCCCCCTCAGCCCGAATGAGGACTGGTGGGGGTTCTCCCGTGGGGGTCACTTCGGTCGTGCCCGCCTTCAGGTTCTGTGACGCAGGTCTGGGAGGAAAACGAACTGCTTCAGAGCGTCCTGGAGTGCTCGCAGTGCGCTCCGGAGCTCTCGGAGGCGGCCGTGGCGCCCGATGCGTCGTCCAGACCCGCCGGTTCTCAGAGATTCCGGATGTATGTCCAGCAGAGCTCATCTAGGGGACCACATGCGAACCCTACCCCCACCCCCCACGAGTTCTGAGGGGGGGGGGTAGGGGCAGGGTTCGCATGTGGCCCCATTATCTTCCTCCTGCCCTCGTCGTCTTCTGAGGCCCCACTTGCAGCCTGGACCCCCCCTTAGGATCTGGACCGGCCAGGGTGTGGCTCGCATGCGGCTGCCGAAGGAGGGGGGCTCCCTCCGTGGTTCGGGAGCGACCAGACACGCACGCGTGCATGACTTCGTTCGGGCACCGAGAGAGCGCATGACGCAAGCGTTCTCGACATGACCTCGGCCTGGCGAACGGGGGGGCATACGTTCGTCGCGTGGATTATGAGGTAACCTCGTCTTGCTCACCTGGGCCAGCGTGCTTCCTCGGCGGCCGCCCTGGAAGCCAGCTCATTAGCGAAAAAATCCCTTGACGCATCCACGAGGCTGCACGTGCGAGGCTGGCTCGGCGTTTGCTCGAGGTGCTGCTGGAAACCTGGCCCGGGCGTCTTTGGCTGAGCGCATCTGAATCGCATCCCCGGCTGAGTTTGGGCTCGCAAGCGATGTCTCGCCCTTCCCGAGTGCTCCCCAACAATTCGTGCCGTTCAGAGAAAGACTTTGTGATAGCAGCCCAGGGGGACGTTCGGACGCACCCCTATCGAGGATGGTCGACCCCCATCATATACCCATACGACCACCTTTCTGGTGATGAGGCGTACGTGTTTGTGGGGAAACCAGCTGACGATAACTGCGATGAACGTGAGTGTGTCGATGCTGGTGATGCGCTCGCAAGATGGTGGCGATGCATGATGACGATGCTAGTGACGATGTGTGATGGCGATCAATATATCAGTCTCACTATCAATCGTTCTCACTTTCCATCTCACAATCGGTCCCACTATCTATCTATCTATCTATCTATCTATATATCTATCTATCTATCTATCTATCGATCTAACAATTGATCGATCTCACTATCCATCGATCTCACTATCTATTTAATTCAATCGCTTCGCTCATTCCGCCGGCCCATATTGTAGCATCGCTGGCACTTGCTTGCGTGCTTGGGGGGGCATTTTGGTGGCCTCCTGGGGCCGCTTGATCGCTACTGCTTCGGCGCGGGCTCGGGGCCATTTCGGCGCCGCCGGAAGGAGGACGATGGAGATGGGGAGGGAGAGGGGAGGAGGAGAAGAGGGTGAGAAGGAACGGAGGAGGATGAAGATAAATATGATGATGCTGATGATGATGATGATGATGATGATGATGATGATGATGATGATCATGATGATGATGATGATGATGATGATGATGATGATGATGATGATGATGGTGATGGTGATGGTGATGGTGATGATGATGATGATGATGATGATGATGATGATGTTGATGATGGTGATGATGATGATGATGATGATGATGATGATGATGATGCTGATGCTGATGCTGATGATGATGATGATGAGGAGGAGGAGGAGGAGGAGGAGGAGGAGGAGGAGGAGAAAAGGGCGGAGGAGGACACCTCTCGATGACATCCTGCGGCGCTCTTGGGGCCAAACAGGGCCGTCGTCCAGATGCTTTTTTGGGAGGCCCTGGTGTCTGTTGAGAGGCCGTTCGGGGGCGCCTGGGAGACATTTTTGAAGCCTTGTAGGGCCTCTTTTGAGCCTCCTTGGAGCTTCCCGGGGTCTCTTGGGGGCCTCTTGGCGGCATCTTGGGCCATCTTGGGGGCCTCTTGGGGCCTCCTGGGGCCCTCTTGGGGCTGAAGGCTTGAGGTTTCGGTTCGTGGTCCCCATCTTGGGCCCCTCTTGGGGCCGTCTTGGGGCTCTCTTGGGCCGTCTTGGGCGTCTCTTGGGCCGTATCGGGGCCCGTTTGGACTCTCTGGGGGCCTTCTTGGGGGCCTCATGAGCCGTCTTCGTGCGCTCTTGGGGGCCTCTTGGACCGTCTTGGAGCATCGGAAAGCCGAAAATGCGACAAGGCCAAAATCCTTCCAAACCATCGTAAAATTGATTATTTTGGCCTCTCGGGGCGCCCCTGTGAGGCCTCTTGGAGGCCACTTGGAGCGTCTTGGCGGCTTCTTGGGCCAGTTGGTATCATCTTCGGCGTCTTGGAGCGTCCTTTGGGCGTCTCGGGGGCCTCTTGGGCAGTCTTGGGGGCCTCTTGGGGCCCTCTTGGCGCGCTCTGGGGGGCCTGAGAGGCCGTACCCAGGAGGAAAACCATCTCTGAGTAGACCTTCCCGGGACCTTCCCGGGACCTTCCCGGGACCTTCCTGGGACCTTCCCGGGACCTTCCCGGGACCTTCCCGGGCTGCGGTCGTGGTATTTTTCGCCGGGGGACCCCCAGGGGCCGCCCCGCGCGCCCGAACTAGAAGAATTGTGAACCAGTTACCAGAGATCTTAGCACGCCTCTGGCCCGTTGGGCCGGCGAATTTATATATCGATCTCACGGGACAACCAGCGGGGCACCATCGGGATACCATCGGGACATCATCGAGGTATCATCGGGACACCATGGGGACACCATCTAGGCAGCATCGGGACAGCATCGGAACACCATCGGGACAACATCGGGGCACCATCTGGACACCATCGGGACGCCATCGAAGCACCATCGGGACACCATCGAGACACCATCGGAAGACCATTTGGACACCATCGAGACACCATGTGGACACCTTGTGGACACCAGCGGGGCAGCATAGGGACAGCATCTGGACACCACCGGGACACTTTTGGGACACCCACGGGCCACCGCCGACCAACCAGGGGGCACAGCCCAGTTTCGCCCTAGCCACGGCGGGCTCGTTCCGATCGCCCGCTTATGGATCTTCGCCTCGTCCGCCCGCGCGACACGAACACGAAACCGGAACCGATTTTCTGGGCGGGGGGTCGCCGTTTCACGTCGATCTCACCCTCCAACCTCCGATGATCCAAGGCTCGGCCCCCCCCACTGCTAATGGGTCTCCCCACCCCTGGATGGGTACGCCCGTGAGCCTCGCGAAGGCCTCGCGGATGGGATGCTACCCTCTCTTCCGTGGTCGAGGCCCTGTGGGCGTGGCGTTGTGGTGGGTGCTGGTGCCCTCCTCTCCCCCTGTTGCTGTGGAGTGGTTCGTCGTCGTCGTCGTCTTCCGTCGTCTTCCTTCCGTCGTCGTCTTCCGCCGTCGTCTTCCGTCGCCGTCGTCGTCGTCGTCGTCTGCCGTTGTCGTCGTCGTCCCGTCGTCGTCGTCGTCTTCCGTCGTGTTCCGTCGTCGTCGTCGTCGTCGTCGTCGTCGTCGTCGTCGTCGTCGTCGTCCCCATCCCATCTGGGGGGATGGCCTGTGGAACCCTGGGACCCATCCCACTTTGCGGGGGGCCTGTGAACTCGCTACCCAGGATCATATTTGCTCCGAGTTGGGCCCCATTTGTGTGGCCCCGTCGAAACTTCACAACGTCGGGGACTGGGTGGCCATGCCCCCCCGTTATATGTCTTTTCTCGGCTTCCTGTCCGTACCACGCCCTTTCAAGCCCACTGGGGTTGGGGGGAGGAGGGAGAGCAGACGCAAGAGGCGGCGGGTTGTCGCTCATCGGCAGCGGCGAGGTGTGGCGGCGGCGGCGGCAACGGCGGCAGCAGCCAGGGGGCCTAGTTCGATCCGATTGATCTGGTTCGAAGGCGATTTCGGCTGGAGGGGAATAAACACACAGACACAATTAATCGTCGACTCCCAGGAAATATGGGAACATATGGGAAGTGGGGGGAAGACGAAAACCCAGAAAATATAAGAAAGTATGAGAAATCCTGGGATCGGTGTGTATTTATTTGTGTGTCCCTGGGCCCCTTTATTTCGGCTGGCCCGATCCGATTCCATTCCGATTTTCTGGCGATCTGATGCGGCCCAATGCTCGCATGGCACTGCTGTGCGCCCTGGCGCGGCCGATTCGATTCGATTTTTCGACTCCGTGCCGATGCAGCCCGTTCTGGCGCTCGTTTCGATGGGATCCGATGTGTCGATTTGATGCTGACTGATCCTTCAGTGGGAAGAGACGTGCTTCTGTAGAGCCCGCTGCGAGTTCCAGAGCAACTACTCGAATTCGAACCTCATGGACATGAAGATTTTCAAGGTGCTCGGCTGCACGCACCTTTCTTGTTCAATGCGGTTTTCGCTGGCATTTCCATCCCCACCAGCATAGTTGTCTGGCAGCGGGCGTCGGTATCATACAGCACGCACAGCTTATCATCTTTCATTGTTCGTCCTTGACTCGCATGTATGGCCTACATGGGTTGTAAGGTCACCCCAAAACGGCACCAACAGGACCGGCTCCCCGCACCGTCCTTCGACTCCCAGAGCGGTCCAAGACGGCCTCGCATCGGCCCAACTACGCCCTTACACGCCCTTGACACCCTCCCCACTGCTCAAGAGGCTCCCAAGACGCACGAACAGGCCACAAGTTTGAGCCCCAAGAGAGCCCCAAGAAACCTACATCATTGATCCTCTCCAGAAAGGTTTTTCTTGAAGTTACAATTCTCCCACAATCGAGCTTCCTGCTCTCGAAATCGGCCTGAGTGACCCCCAAGTTCACCCCAAGACGGAACAAGCACAAGCCAAGAGGGCCCTAGTACGTCCCACAGGGCCCCCCCGACGAGCTCCCCGCACCGTCTCTCGGCTCTCAGGACGGTCCAAGATGGCTTCGAATCGGGCCAACTGCGCCCTTCACGCACATAACGCCCTCCAGGCTGCCCAAGAGGCTACCAAGACGCATGAGCAGGCGCCACGATGAGCTCCAAAAGGCTTTAAGAGGTTCAACGCAGCTTTTTGCTTAGGTTGTCGAAGGAAGGATATGTTTCGCTTCGCGCTCCAAGAAGCTCAAATTTGCTCCAAGATCGCCGTAAGACGCTCCAATATCTCCGGAAGAGTAATGTCTCCGGAAGAGTCACGAGAGCCCCAACACAAATTCAAAAGAGCCCCACGACTGGCCACCAGGCTCGCGAACTTGCTCAAGAGAGCTCTCAGACGCCCCGTGAGTGGCCCCCAGAGGGGAGACGTCTTCAGAGGCCCCCAAGACTCACCCAACGCGCCCTATGAGAGCCTCCAGATGCTCGCAGACAGACCCTCCACCACGTTCTGGAACACTTTCGCCGGAGTGCGCGTCTCCCGCGCACCTTGTGCCCAGAGCAGCCCAACAGCGCCCCATGAGCCTTCACAACGGCCCACGAGGACCCCAAGATAGTCAAGGCTAGCTTGCTTGAGAATCCCCGGCAGACCCTCAACCACGCTTCGGAACACTCCCGCCGAAACGCGCTTATCCTTCCCTCCTGCCGCCTTCAGGGGCAGTCCAACAAAGTTCTCTTCCCTGTTTCCCAGGCCCCCAGCTCTCCCCTCCCAACATCTGGCCGCCTCAGACATTCATGCAATTTCACGGCGATGCCAACTTCGCGCATGGAAAATGACGACGAAGGATACGAGCGTATTCCGGAACGCTCTCCCTGAAATGTGCTCGTCCTACGGCCCTGGCCAATTTTGTGACATTCCTTCTTTCCTTAGGATTTCCTGCGCATTCCGCATCTCAGCCCGCAATGCAAGCAGCTTTCTGTATGCGAGAAGCAGTATTCACACTGCGCCACATGGGCGGCCGCACATGAGTGTGGCCTGACGTCGTCGCTCACGGGGAGCGGACTTGATGGCATCACAATCTGGTGCACCTGTGACTAGAACCTATGTGCGCCAAGTGTTCGCGTGATTCCACTACATGTGTATATGTACAGGTATGTGTGTATGGATAGATTTGCAGCCTCCCGAGAGACATGTTGGACGGGCCGATATCGTTTCGGTTCGAGCGCTTTGGAGAGAATAATTATCCATGGTTGCGTGAGCGGATGCGCCCCCAGCGCCGAGAGCGGCAGCCTGCGATAGAGCCGCGGCGGGCCAGGCCCGCGGAGGGCTCCTCAGCGCAGACCAGGGCCCAGACGCTGGAGGCGACCAGCCTCGCGGATCCAGACGAGTGCGAGGACGATTTCGAGGTGTTGTCGGGGAAGGACACTGCCCAGGTGTGGGTCTCGCTGGCAACGCGGCTGGTGAGGCTGGCCTTCAAGAGGCGCTGTTGGGCACACCTCGGACAGCATCTGTGTACGATCAAGAGACGGGGTCAAGATGGCAGCAACAGTCCAGGACGTCCAGGCGCTTCGACAGGCTCTCGAGCAAGTGCAGGGAGAGCTACGGCAAGCACGAGCGGACGCGGACGCCGCGAGTAGGGCGGCGCAGGAGGCTGTGCAGCGGGCACAGCAGGTGCTCGGGCAGCAGGGTGCAGCCGCAGCGGCGGCGCAAGTGCCAGACCCTGGACCAGAGAGGATGGCCGCGGAGATGAAGATGATAGGCAAACCAGGGATGTTCGATGGGGCCAAGCCGCCATGGAGAGACTGGTCGGTTGTGCTCGAGGCGTTCGCAGGTGCGACGAACCCAAACATGGCGGCGGCGATGGCCAGAGCAAAAAGTGAGGCATAACCAGTGCTGATGACGAACCTCGAGCCCGGGGACATGCAGTTGTCCAGGACGTTGGGGTACTGGCTCATCCAGACGTGCAGGAGCCAGGCGCTCGACGTAGTGCTGCATGCGGGCAAGCTCGAGGGATTCGAAGCTTGGCGATAACTACACCTCCGATTCGAGCCACAGGCGGCGAGCAGGTACGCTGGACAGTTGATGACGCTGCTCGCCTGGGACTTCAGTGGCGAGATGATGACACGCCTGGAAGCCTTCGAGAGGGAATCAGCCTGTATGAGTCGGCGTCGGAGGAGACCCTCTCGGACGCGATCAAGGTTGGCATAGTGCTGAGGCAGTTGCCCGAGTCCCCGCTGAGGCAGCACATGATCATGAATGCGGAGAGACTCAAGGAGTGGCCCAAGTTCAGGGAAGAGATCCTGAACGTCCGACGAGCCCAGGCCGCAGCGGCGGCAGCGCAGAACGGGGTGGCCCCGATGGATCTCTCAGCGTTCAACAACCAGGGTGGCAAAGGGCGCTGCAGGATCTGCAACGGCAAGGGCCATGACGAGAGGAACTGCTGGCACCGCAAGGGCGGGGCCGGGGCAGGCAAAGGCAAGTCGGACAGCAAGGGCAAGTCGAGAGGCGACTCCATGTCGAAGGGGTCCTCGAAGGGCGGAAAAGGCAAAGGGCGGCAAGGCCGGCAAGGGGCCGAAGTGCTTCAACTGCCAGGGGCGCGGGCACATGTCCACGGACTGCCCGAAGAAGAATAACAACCTGCACATGATGGAGCCGGAACCCGAGAAGGCGCTGCGCGGGCTGTGGCTCGCGCCGTTCACGATCGACAAGAAGGGCGTGGCGCAGAAGGCCTTCGACCTGCTGATCGTGGGCGGCCTGGTGGACGACAAGCTGGTGCACCTGCTGAGCAGGCTCGGTGCGGACACGGCGCGGGCGTCCCGCAAGATGGTGCTCGGTGTCGACTCGTGTGCAGCTGCGACGGTCGTGCCATCAGATCTGGCGCCAGACTACCCGACGTACGAGAATGACATGGGTGCGAAGGGCGCAGGCTACAGGACCGCGAACGGCGGCTGGGTGGCCGACGAGGGCACTAAGGAGCTCATCGGGTCGGTGCGCAATGCGGACGGCTCGGCGCAGGTGAGAGGCGTCAAGGCTAGGGTCGCGAAGGTCAGCAAGGCATTCGCCTCTGTCTCGGAGATGGTCGACGCAGGCCATCGTGTCGTCTTTGATGCTGGCGGCAGCTACGTGGAGAACAAGTCGACAAAGGGTGATTACTCCGTTCCAGAGGCGCAACAACGTGTGCGAGATGGAGATGGAGCTGATGCCGTATAGCAAGGCGAAGGGCGTGATCGGCCGCGCGGAGGCCTGGTCCAAGCCCAGCGCGAGCGGCAAGAAGCTGAAGGATATCTGCATGGTGAGGAGCGATGACGCAGGTGATGGAGCTGGATCGAGTCAGGCAGCTGCGGCGGCAGCAGCAGCATGACCAGTCCAAGAACCTGTTCAACCAGAAGCGGTACCTCCACCACCTGCCCCGGTGGTTGCTCGGGAGCGGCCGGCAGCAAGAGCGGCGCGGAGACCGCGCGAGCCGACCCAGCAGGAGCGAGAGGACCATGAAGTGTCGCACACGCCGTATCGAGCTTGGTGCAGGCACTGTGTTGCAGGACGCGGGCGAGCTGAACCTCATGTGACGAGGAGCCACGCGGAGGATGCGATGCCAGTCGTGGCGTTCGACGACGGCCACCTCGGCAGCGGCGAGGACGCGGCCCCGACACTGTTCATGAGGGACTCGCTGCACAGGTACACGGGCGCGGAGGTGTTGACCTGCAAGGGGGCGGCGCACACGCGCAGCGCCGACGTGCTGGTGGAGTTCGTGGTCAACGGCGGCTACAAGAAGGTGGTCTTCAGGTGCGACAACGAGCCGAGCATCGTCGCCCTGAGGGACGAGGCCGGCAAGCGGCTCAAGAAGGACCACGGCGTGGAGTGCTTGCTGGAGACCTCGGCGGTTGGAGAGTCACAGTCGAACGGTCTAGCTGAAGGGGCTGTCAGGGATATGCAGGGCCTGACGAGGACCCTCAAGCACGCGGTGGAGGAGATGCACGGAGTCACGATCGGCCCGAAGCATCCGTGCCTGCCGTGGATGGTGAGGCACGGCGCAGCAGTCCACAATCGAGGTCAAGTGGGCTCGGGCGGGCGCGCGCCGTACGAGTTGAGGAAGGGGCGCGCTTGCAAGAGGGCGCTCCCGGCGTTCGGTGAGAAGGTGTTCTACCTGCCAGTCGGCAAGAGGGAGTCGAGGCTGGTGGACAGGTGGCTGGAGGGCGTCTTCTACGGGATCCGCGACGACAGCGACGAGGTGTACGTGGCGACGCCGAATGGCGTGATGAGAGCCAGGAGTGTCAAGGGGATGCCATTGGCAGCGAGGAGTGACAAGGCTCTCTTCTCAGAGCTGCAGGGCGTGCCGTGGCGACCTGTTCCTGGTCAAGAAGGTGAAGGGCTCGAAGTGCCACCTGCCATGGCGAAGGTGGTGGCGGATCAGGTGGTGCCGGATGTGGATCTGCCCCTTGTTCCAGGACCTGGGGGTCCTCCTGCTCCGAGGAGGGTCTACATCAGGAAGGGCGTGGAGCTGCGGCGCTACGGGCGCACCCCAGGTTGCAGGGGCTGTGCAGCAGCTCGGGACAACCAGCGCGCGATCATGCACAACGAGGAATGCCGAACGAGGATCGAGAAAGCGATGGAGGACGACCAGACGTTCGGCGGTGGAGCTCGGGTGGCAGAGGCTCACCTACGGCGAGTAGCTGGTGAGCGACCCGAGAGAAGTGAAGGCGAAGAACCTGGAGCCAAGCGAGGACGAGTCGGTGATCGTGGACCAGTCGGGGAACCAGGGGCGCCAAGCTCATCTGGGACAGCGTCGGGAAGCGTTCCGGCGGCGGCGGACGTGGCCGTGGGCGACGCGGCGGAGATTGGCGCGCTGCTGGAACAGCTAGGTCTCGACAGCTTGGATTTGCAGGAAGTGTTCAACCCAGGGGAGTTCGCCAAGGGAGCTCCAAAGTTCAACCTGAAGCCAGGAGTAGTGATGGACCTCAGGACGGGCTGGGACTTCCGGCTCGAGGAGCAGCGGAAGCGAGCGAGAGCGGAGATTGAGGAGGGAGACCCTGCCTTCCTCATCATGTCTCCTGTATGCACCCCGTTCTCACAGCTGATGGAGTTGCTGAAGGCGAGCGGCAAGCGCGACGAGGTCAAGTTGCAGAGGCTGCTCGCGGAGTGCAAGGTCTTCCTGGGCTTCTGTATGGAGCTGGCGGCCTACCAGCATTCGAGGGGGAAGTGGTTCCTGTTCGAGCACCCTTGGACGGCGTCAAGCTGGAAAGAGGAGTGCATCAAGAGCATCAGGGAGCTGCCCGGCGTCATAGTGGTCAGGGGCAGCCAGTGTGTGTTCGGAGCCAAGTCATACTGGCCGGACGGCTCGGAGGGCCTCGTGGCGAAGCCGACGGGCTGGGTGACGAATAACCGCGAGGTGGCGAAGCAGGTGGGGGTCGTGTGTGACGGCTCCCACGAGCATGTGCACCTCCTGGAGAGTAGGGCATAGGCGGCTGAGAGGTACCCCTTAGGGCTGGTGAAGGCAATCCTGAAGGGCATCAGGAACGAGTTGAAGATCGGAAAAGGGATCCATGCGTTCGAGGTTGGCCAGACCGCGGAGGAGCCAGAGATCCTGGACCAGGCGACCGAGGAGGAGATGGCGACCTTCTACGACGGGATCAGCGGTGCGGTGCTGGACCCGATAGGCGTCAAGAACGCGCGCATGGACGAGATGGGCTACATGAGCAGGCTCGGAGTGTTTGAGAGGAGAAAGATTTCCGAGGCGCTGCAAGTGACGGGGGCCAAGCCGCTTCCGAGCGGCTGGGTCGACACCAACAAGGGAGACGATTAGAAACCAGAACTACGGAGTCGGTTGGTGGCGAAAGAGACGCGGAAGCTGAGCACCCTTGGGCCTGAGGACGCTGCGGCGACCTTCGCGGCGACCCCGCCGCTGGAGGACCTGAGGATGATTCTGTCTATGGCGATGACAGGGCGGCATGAAGATCGAGTGCTGACCTTCATCGATATCTCAAGAGCGCATCTACACTCGGAGCTGCAGAGGCCAGTGTACTTGAAGGCGCCAGCGGAGGATCTAGAGTGCAAGGACGACGAGTGCTGGCTGCTGCTGAAGGCCATGTATGGGCTGAGAGATGCCGGCTCATCCTTCGACCTGAAGGTGGGGGACATCATGGTGAGGATCCTGAAGTCGAAGCAGGGCGAGTTCTCGCCTTGCATCTACCAGGTTGGCAAGCTGGTCGTTTGGAGGCACGGTGGCGATTTCGTGGTGCTCGGTGGGCAAAGGGATTCAAAGGCTTTTGCGGAGAACCTCGGCGAGCACCTGATCGTGAAAATACGAGGAATTCTGGGGCCTGACCCGCAGAGCGGCGACGTCGACGAGATCGTGGTGCTGAATCGCATCGTGAGGTGGGTCAGGCCGAACGGCAACGACGTGGAGAAGATCGAGTACGAGGCGGACCCGAGGCACGTGGAGATCATCCTGGCCCAACTGGGCCTGCAGGGTAAGGAGAGCAAGCCGGTGGTCTCGCCGGGGATCAAGAGGCAGGAGCTGGATGGAGAAGCACTCCAAGGACGAGAGCGGGTCATCTACCGCTCAGTGTGCATGCGTATTCAATACCTGGCGCAGGATCGACCTGATGTACAGTACGCGGCGAAGGAATCGGCACGAGTGATGCAGGGCCCGACGATTGGCGGGTGGCAGGCCATGAAACGGATCGGACAGTACCTCGTAGGTACCCCGAGGCTGGTGGTTGAGTATCCACGGCAGGCAGATCGGCGAGTTGCTCAGGTCTACACGGACAGTGACTTCGCAGGCTGCCTGAGGACACGTAAGTCTACTTCATCGTGTACGGTGATGATTGGGAAGCATTGGATTAGAAGCAGTTCGACAACCCAAGGGTTCAATGCTCTATCTACGGGAGAAGCGGAGTTCCATGCGCTGGTGAAGGGCGGCAGTATCGGGCTCGGCCTCAAGACTCTCGCAAATGACATGGGTGTAGATCTCGAGACCGTGCTGAAGTGCGACGCGACGGCGGGCAAGGGCATCGCTGAATGTCGTGGAGTCGGACGAGTTCGACACCTTCATACACCTCTGCTGTGGCTGCAGAGGGCTGTGCAGCAGAAAAAGCTGCGTGTCACCAAGATAGCAGGTCTCGAGAACATCAGTGACATCGGTGCGAAGGATCTGGACGGGCCCCTGATTAAGAAGTTCCTGACGATGATGGGGTTCGTGGCGAGGGCAGGTCGGGGCCGACTGGCCCTGCGGGCAGCGCTGGATGGATGAGTGATGAGTAAGACATCCCTCAGAGCGCTTGAGCTGGCGGCGGCGTTTGGCCGCGCGCTGTTGATACTAAGGAGTGGTGGATCGCCGCGCTCCGCTGACTTTGTGCCGGCCGTAAGAGTCGGCGGCCTCCCGCGCGGAAGGAGCGCGGAAGGCTGGGAGGGCTGGGTAGATTTGCAGCCTCCCGAGAGACATGTTGGACGGGCCGGTATCGTTTCGGTTCGAGCGCTTTGGAGAGAATGATTATCCAGTGTATGTACGTACTTGTATCTGTTTACGTGCATGTATGTGTGTGTCTATGTCTACGCACAAATACATGTCGATGTACTTGTGATTGCATGTACGTATGCAGCATTTGTAGACACATACTTAAATATATATAAACGAATAATAAAAATGTACGTGTGCACATACATTAACATAGATAAATGTACATGTATATGTGCATGTATACTTATATGTAAGTACATCTGCACGTGACATCATTTACGTACATTCAGTTGCATAAGTGTATGCATGCGTACGCGCACGCACATATACATATATATATGTACATGTGTATATGTATATGTTTATCTAAATTTACATACATAGGTATATTATTGTGTATGTGTATTTGCTGATGTATCTGAGCTGGGGTGCATCTTTTTTTGTGCACGTCCCACAGTCTCTGACGATGCGTATGCACATGCACATGTACATGTAATGGTGTACATACGTGCATGTACTTGTATCTGTACATGCATCTTGGGATGAACATGTATATGTTCCCCAAACAGTTCTTGCACTCATGGTTTCTTACTCGGCTTAACCACTCGGCGTGAGTGGCGGCTTTTGCGGGCTGCGCCGCCCGTCGCCGCCGCCGCCGCCGTCGCCGTCGCCGTCGTCGCCACTCGGGGCGAGTGGCGGCTTTTGCGTGCGGTTCCGCCCGTCGCCGCCGTCGCCGTCGCCGCCGCCTGGGGCGAGTGGCGGCTTGTGCGGGCGGTGCCGCCCGTCGCCGCCGTCGCCGTCGCGTGGTATGTCTTTTGTTGAAAGAAATCTACTCCACCACCCTCCCGAGGCTGGGCTTATCATTCCCTCTTTGGATTTGCATGCGATTCTGCCCCATCGTCCATCCGACATATGAATTCATGCCATGCCAGCCGAGCTGGTTTCGCCCCCCACCGCCATCCTTTTGCAAAGAACTGTGCATGCGCTGTCGTTTATCGAGGGCCATCAATTTTCAATAACCCCTTGCAAGGAAATGTGACCAATTGCGCACACGCGCGTCGTCGCGCGCGCGCCGAAATCCTAAAAAGTACGCCGCGCGGATTTTCGAGAAGGTTGCGCGCACGTTGGTGCGAATGCTTAAGAACAGCATGGGTTGCCCATTATTTTTTTTATGAAAGTGCTACCGAAAGGACTTCGCGCGCATCGTTCGCACGCCCTTGCGCGCGTGCCGTCGCGAGAATCGTTTGCAAGAAATGAGATGAAGTGCGCGCGCGTGCGCGTCGCCGCGCTCGCATGCCGAAATCCGTCAAACTTTTTCAGTGTCGTACGGATTTCAGAATCGAGTGTACAGAACATGTAAAACCACATTTGTTTCGCGACATCAGTGTTCAAAAAAGCTTGCGCGCGCGCTCTTGCGAAATGTTTTGGGAACCATTGGTTTTTTCAACGTATCCATGGAATTCTGCGAAACGGGCCTCTCGCGCCGCATGCCGACATCATTCGCGCGCCCTTGCGCGCGTGCGGGGGGGGGGGGAGGTTCCGTGTCAGATCACTCCACGCTGGAGACTCTCGCGCGTCGGCCGCGGGCCATCACCGACGTGAGGACGCCGTCATCGCCGTCGGCGGGATCAACATCGGCACCGTCATTGGCCTTGCCGTCGTCGTTGTCAACATCGTCACTATCGCTATCATCACCATCATCATCGTGTCTACTGTCGTCGACGTTTCCATGATATCGCGCCGTTCCCACGTCACCGACTCGCACTGGAGTGCCCGTTTGGAAGCGCCAAGCGTTTAGCGCCACCGCGGCCGCGCCGGTCGCGCCAAACTAGCTGGCCGCTGTGCGCGCGAGCATGCGCGGGCTGGCGCGACCGCAGAGATGCGCCGGACAATGGCGAGCGCTCATCGCAGTCGCCGCCGTATGGGTTTTGCATGCCAAGTTGCGGGTGGGTGGGTGGGGTGTTTTCAAGAGCATGGGAGGTGGTCAAGCGCGGCGCAGGGTAGTCACTTGCACCGCGTAGATTCCCTTTTCTAAAAGACAATAGCTTCTACCACACTCCCGAGGGCGGACTTATCGTTTGACCGCTTCGCGTTGCAATTTACGCGCGTTTCTGCCCAGTCGTCCATCCTAAATATGAGTTCGTATCATGCCAGCCAGGCAGGTATCCGCACCCCCCGCCATCCTCTGAAGCAAATATGATACGCGCGCTCGTCTATCAAAAACCAGCAGTTTTCGATGATCTCGAGCAGAAAACGGAACGAAGTACACGCGCGCGGGCGGTCGCGCGCGCGCCGAAATCTTCCAACGCACGTTGGTTTCGCAAGGGTTTCAGAATCGAGCGCCCGGAAAACATTTAGAACGCATATCTGGGCAGCGCGGATTTTCAAGAGAAGCTTGCGCGCGCTCTTGCACATTCTCCGGAAACAGCTGAGAAGTTTTCATCATTGTCGCAAGATGCAACCAAACGGGTTTCGCGCGCGCGCGTGTCGAAATCGCGCGAATGCCCTTGCGCGCGCGCCTTCGCGGGAATCTTTCTGGAAAGAACTGGGCGACGTGCGCGCCTCGCGCGCCCCTGCGCTCGCGTGCCGGAATCCGTCGAAACGTTGTCGGTTTAGTCGCGATTTCAAAGCCGAGCGCAAAAATCATGGGGAACGCATGGTTGGTTTCGCATCGCGGGCTTGCCCGCGCGCTCTTGCGAATTCTTGGGAACGCCATATGTTTCTCATCATGTGCAGAAAATGCAACCGCACGGGCCTCGCGCGCGCGTGTCGAAATCGTTCGAGCGCCCTTGCGCGCGCGCCGTCGCGGGAATCCTGCGCAACAGATGGGGCGAAGTGCGCGCGCGCGTCGTCGCGCGCGCGTGCAGAAACCCGTCAGACATTGCAGGTTTCGCAGCGAATTCAAAACCGAGTGTCAAACAAGCGCGCACGCGTGGTTTCACGACGCGGAGGTCCAAAAACAAACGTGCGTGCGCTCTTGCAGCTTCATCAGGAAAAGGTAGGTTTCGTTTCGGCATTTTCATGGAATTCTGCCAGCGGGCCTCTGGCGCCGCACCCCGCAATCATTTGCGCGCCGTGCTGGGGGGGCGCGATCCGCGTCGCATAATGCAATGCGGGTCGCTCTCGCCCGTCTGCCGACGCCGACGCGAGGGCGCCGGCGTCGTCGTCGGTGCGATCAGTTTTGACGCCCGCGCTGGCCGCGCCGTCGTCGTTGTCAACATCGTCACCAGCGTCGCTGTTATCATCGTCGTGTCTACCAATGGCGGCGTTGCCTTGGTGCCGCGCCCGCCCAAGTCGCCGACTCGCACTGCGGCGCCCGCTGTGATGTGCCCGGCGGTCAGTGCCGGGGCGGCCGCGTCGGTCGCGCCGAACTTGCAGGCCGCTGCGCGTGCGCGCTTGGGTTGGCGCGGCCGCAGTCGCGCGTCAGCCAACGCCGAGCACTCATCGCAATCGCCGCCGCGTGGGTTTTGTCAGCCAAGTTGCGGGCGGGTGGGTGGGTGGGATGTTTGCAAGAGCGTGGGATGCGTCAACTCGTTTGTAAAAATCGATTAACCTTTTCGTATTGCAATATGCACATTCTGACCCAGTGTCCATCCTGACTGTGAATTCGTACCATCCTAGCAAACCCAGCATCGCCCCCCCCCCCCCCCGCCATTCTCTGCAACGCATTTTAGGCGCGCGCTCGTTTAACGACAATCATAAGTTTTCAAGAATCCCTTGCCAAAAAAGGCAGGCGTGCACGCGCGCGCGTCGTCGCGCGCGCGCGCCGACAACCGTCGGGAACATTCAGTTTCCGACGGATTTCAAAATCGAGTGCCCCAAAAACATAGAACAACACAGCGTTCAACAACGCAGCATGCGCGCGCGTTCTTGTGAATTCTGCAGAAAGTCGTGCGTTTTTTTCAACATTTTCATGGCGCTACGAAGCGGGCTTCGCACGCGTGTCGGAATCGCTCGAACGCCCTTGCGCGCGTGCCTTCGCGAGAACTCTCTGCAACAGATGAGGCGACGTGCGCGCGCACTCGTCGTCGCGCTTGCGTGCCGAAGTCGTTGAAAAACCTTCGGTTCCTGAAGGGCTTCAAAATCGCGCGTCCAACAGCATGCAAAAAACACATGGTTTCGCAACGCGGCTTCTAAAACATATGCTTGCGCGCGCGCTCTTGCGAATTCTTAAGAAACCCATGTGTGTTCAGCCTTTGTGTACTATACTACCAAGCGGGCATCGCGTTTTTTTTTTTTTTTTTTTTTTTTGTTTTTGTTTTTTTTGTGTGTGTGTTGTTTTGAATTTTAAAAGATAATTATCCCGGCAAAGCAACCTAACAGCGATGTGTAGGAGCATATCTGGAAGCATTCCCCTTACGACTCAGATGAAAATCCAGTTGTAGAATTCTGCTGTTATCGCAGTCGTAGTCGCATTCGCGATGACAGTCGCAGTGGCAAAGGCAGTCGCAGTCACAGCCTCAGCCTCAGCCTGCCTCAGCCTCAGCCTCAGCCTGCCTCAGCCTCAGCCTGCCTCAGCCTCAGCCTCAGCCTGCTTCAGCCTCAGCCTCAGTCTGCCTTCAGCCTCGGCCTCAGCCTCAGCCTGCCTCAGCCTCAGCCTGCATCAGCCTCAGCCTCAGCCTCAGCCTGCCTCAGCTCAGCATCAGCCTGCCTCAGCCTCAGCCTCAGCCTGCCTCAGCCTCAGCCTCAGCCTGCTTCAGCCTCAGCCTCAGTCTGCCTTCAGCCTCGGCCTCAGCCTCAGC